ACGCAATTTCATTGCTTTCCATTTACTATGAGGGCTGGAAGCAAGCAAACAAAAACTTAAGCCACCAGAAAATGAAAAATCACATCTAAGTCATCCTGCCATTGTGTCGATTGCCTTAAACCACGACTAAATCTTGCAATTTACACTGGCTGTTAAGGTAACGTTTATTGGAACAGCTACGTGCTAAACTGCGATCAAACAGGGCCAGAGGGAAACAATTCGACTTTATTAGAAACTCTTTTACGTTTTTCCATTAGTTTCTTCTGGGAAAACTTCCAGGGGAGGCGTTCGCTGCAAACAGTGAACAATGATGAAAACAAACTGCTTTTGTCGGTCCTTAACGAGTTTATTTGCGCTGATCAGCGAATAGAGTCTGCTCTATTGATAATGAAGGTTCAATTCAATTCGATGTTGTGCAGGTATTTGTGTGAAGGTTTGGGCATCGGAAGCTTCCTCTAGAGGCCAGTTTGGTCAGCACCATTAATCAACTTTCTGCGCAATTCTAAATCAAATTCCTTGATAAAACGTCTAAGAAAATGCCAGAACAAGTAAATTCCTTGATGAAAAGAAATCTAGACTGGCAGCGTTCCGGTCGCTTTGTTTCGAATCGCGCTTTCGACGTCATTATTTTTCGTTAAATATTCACTGCTTTAAGCACCATAGACGAGGCTGGAAGTTTAACGATCTGAACCCTGCAAACTGACTAGTTTCAATGAAAAATCGAACTCATTTCTCGCTTATTGAAAAAATATAATTAAAATTTGTTTTAAAACCCTTCGTCCATTGGCGTTAAATGGGAGAAGCAAGTCCAATATCGGCAAACCCGCAGCTGCAAAGGTTTTACCGATAATCAGCAAATGGGGCCCAGCTGCACTTCACTTGCAATGAATGTTTTATTCATGCATTGGCGTTCTTCTGGTCCATGTTGTATGGGAAAAAACCACTGCTTTTCCTTTGAGTTCTTGCGATTGAGCAGAAAGGCAATTTCTTAAGCCCTGCATATTAATCAGTTCGATATTAGTTCAATTAACTCTTGAATGGGCTTGGAGAGGTTAACTCCGAATTGGATCGGCGTTGTTATTAAGGGCATTATGGACATATCAGGTTGAAGATCCATCAATTAGGAGGAATAATCGAGGGAATATGTGAAATGTTTGAACCAGGAAAAATCCTGGGGGTTTTGTGTGGTAGATAAAGCTCTGTCGGGACACTTGTATATGTGAAAAATCCAATTAAGTCACAAATAAACACGGGCGAACTTTCGCTCCGGCTTGTAAGCACGAAACATTTCGCGAGTTTCCACTAAAGAAACAGCTTCGGAAAGTGCATGTAGTCCAAGAGAATGTCCACCATGTCGCAAATAAAACTTAATATTGCAGCTAGAAGAAGAATAACTGCCGATGATCCAGTTAAAAGTTAATTTAAAATCCAGGCGTTGAACTCCGGGAAATTTCCGAACATTTCTGGTCGGAGCCGAAAGCCTCGGGGGGGCGATTTGTCGAAATTGGAAAACTTCCTGAGTTCGGTTCATCCTTCATTTATTGCCATACTCGATTTATTTATGCACATTTCTTGATGCGCCGCGCCACTCTCAACTCCCTCCAACAAGAACAATATGGGGTGCTTCCACGTTTGTAAATTCCCATTATTGCTGGAATTCGGAAAATTACCGCTAGCAAACTTCTGCAGTTAAGGCCCACTTTGCTGAGTTTTCCGGGCTTTGAAGCGTGCCAACCGAAGTCTTCCGGACGTTTCGCAAGCACGAGTGGCTTGCATCTTCAGAAGTGGTTTGCTTGAACGCTTACACTGTTCTCATCAGAACCCG